TGCAAACAGGAACACCACGCTGAACACAGGTGGAAGGTCCAAACACGGCATGATTCCGGGGCCTGTGTGTGTATGTGCGCACTACAGTGTGTGCGTGACGTGTGTGTGTGGTGTGTATGCATGTACGTGACGTGTGCACACGTGTTGGAGGGTTGCCACGTTGCATCCTGACGGCTCAGACAGATGAACTTTCCGGATCTGACCGGACCTCGTAGGAGAGAGGAGCCCACACCCCAGGGGCCCCGGCAGGCGCAGGGGGAGCCGGTGCCCAGGGACTCGGGACGCCCCGGCCCTGCAGCTGGGCAGTGTCCGCGTTGCTCACCAGGGAGGCCAGCTGGCCACACTCTGTCCTTGCTGCAGAGGCTGCCGCTCCCTCCGCACAAGCCCAGGAAGGTCCCACGGCCACACAGAGAGGCTTCCCGCACGCATGGGTGAGGGCCAAAGCCTGCGGCCAGCAGAGGGGTGGCCCCGCGATGCCCATGAGGAGCAGGTGGGCGTCGCTTCCGGACACGGGCCCGCGCAGGGCACGTGCAGAATGTCCACGACCATTACGACGGTTCAGAAACTGGCCGAGAGACAATGGAGGGGATGAACCAGGAGAGGACATGGTGGGGGTTGGGAGACCAGCGCACCCGGACTGCAGGGTGAGGTGGGAGGGGGTCCGGCTCGGGACAGGTGGCAGGGGGACGGTGTCAGGCTACAGGAGGGAGGCCCTGCCCAGCTGCCTGTGCTCCCAGCGCCCAAGTCCTCCCGCGACCCAGCTCCGCACTGCATGTCGTTAGATGATTTTGTTTTTAACCAAACAAGTTGAAGGGACGCGTATTCGGGTCCGCAAACCCGGTCGTGGCTGGGGTCTGAGGTCTTACTCTGCTGGTGTCGAATCCGGAGAAGCCGGCTTCCTCCGCTGGCTGACTCTCCACCGGGAGCCGTCAACCCCGAAACGGCTTCCGGCAGGGACGCCGCCTCCCTGAGGTGGTGGCATTTGAGAGAAAGCCGGCATCACCCCAGAACTGGTCCCTGCAATGCACCCCCGCCGTCACGTCAGGACCAGTCAGATGAACGGTTTGGTTTGCAAGACTGACAAATGCAGGCGTCGCTGGGCCGTGCGGGGTGGGGCTCACATTTAGCTGTTTGCGTGGGTGGGAAGGACGGCAGAGTGATCTCGGGACTTTCGGGGCAGCTCACACGACCAGTTTGCCCTTCTCCCATCTCGGGGCTGCTGCTGGGGCCTCGGTGGCCAGGGGGGCGGGGGGGGGGCGGAGAGGACGTGGGAGGAGGAGTCCCACTGTGGACAGAGCTGTGTCCAGCCCAGGGGAGACCCCAGGTAGAGGCTGCTGTTCTTACGCCCTGGGTGCCTCGCATCCCATTGGCTGGTTTGGGGGTCGTGCCCTTCCAGTGTTTTCTCCCGGGACCTTCTCAGTGGCTGCGCTCGGCTCTGGGGCCCTGTCGGCAAGCTTTCACCAGATCTGGCTGCCTGGCGGGGGCGGAGCCAGCACCCTGACCTTGAGGACACACTCGGTTTCAGCCAGGCTTCCCGCAGGGTCAGACGCTGCTGGGCCACCACTTGAGCCCAGCACGCGGCTCCGTCACTGCCCACATCCCTCACCGGTACCCCTCGAACAGGTGCTGCCACTCGGGTCTCCCCTCAGAACTCAGCCAAGGCTCCCGGACGTGCGTCCAGGCCCAGGATGGCCCGCAGGAGGTTCCAGAAGCAGGTGCAGGGCCAGAGCTGAGGGCCGGGGCGGAGGGCCGGCTCCTGGCAGGGAAGGTCTGCAGCTGAAAGTGCCCTGTGAGCGCCCACTGGTGCCTGTGCCACCAGCTGCCACCTGGCCCGGAGCCTCCCTAGGCCCTGCCCTTCCTGGGCCCTGGACAGATGGACGTCACCAGCCTCACCTCCTTGGCTGCGTCTTTCCTTGTCCTGACCCCCAGGGTTGCCATGGAGGCAGTTAAATCACAGGGTTTCAGGTGATGGCCTAAGGGGAGCGTCTCCTGGTGGATTGGGGAAGGACGATCAGGTCTGCAGTTCGGGGGGACAGAAAAAAAAGTGTTTCTCCGGAGCGCGCAAGGCTGACGTCACTTCCATTCCACCAAGGGAGGGCATGGGGTGTTCTGGAAGCAACGGTGGAGCTCAGAGGAAACTCACGCTGGGTGGTCCAGCCCAGGAGGCGCCCTCGGGTGCCGGGTTCTGGGACGTGGGGAGGGGCAGGACAGAGCTAATGGAGAGGACGGCCCCTTGGCTGGAGGACACAGACTCCAGGCCCAGCAGGGCGGCGGCCTGGCCGAGATCTCGGGGCACAGGGACACCATCCGAGCTCCTAATGAGGGCTGGGGGTCCCCCACCTATTCATTAGCCAGTGGGGCGAGGACCAGCCACGCCCCGGGCTGGTGCCCACGGCTGCAGGTGGTGACCTGCCGGCCTGCGCTGCGCCTGTTCCAGGGCGGCTGGGCCGGCACCACCGGCAGACCCATGAGCCCTCGCGCAGCGCCCCGCCCCGGATCCGAGCAGAGCAAATGTCAGCTTCCCTGGGGCGAAGGGCCTTCTGGCGACAAGCCCTTCTTCTCACCGGAATCCCAGCAGCTCTTCCCAGGCCCCAGCTGCTGAGACAGAGACTTGGGGCCGCCGTGGGCGCCCACGGGCGAGGTGTTTGCATCTTTGTTTAACGTCCTCAGTGTCTGCTCCCCCTGCGTCTCTCGCTGCGCCGTGTAATCATTTTGATCACAGCGCTGGTACCGACTTTCCTAGCAGCCTGTCTTGAACATTTACAGGCAATTCAGTGACTTCCACGGCCTGGAAGATGTAATTGCCTCATCCGGCTGCCGTGGCTTCTCCAGCGAGTCTTCTGGGCATTTAATTTCCAGGAAGGAGGACACAGACGCCCTGGGAACCAAGAGAGGACAGAGCCGTGTCTGTCACCTGTGTCCCCTCGGGCCTGCTGGCACCAGTGTTGAGGAGGGAAGGACCCATCTGGCCCAGAAGGCAGGGAAGCGAGAGCTGAGACCCTCATGACCTGGGCCACCCTTGACCCTGGCCGCGGACCCCCACCCCTCTGCTGGCCCTCCGAGTCCCCTGACGAGTCTCGGGCTTTGCTCCTAACTCGGAAGAGTGGCCGTGCCCAGACCCCTGACCCTGGGGACTCCACCGTCCGGCAGAGGGCGAGTGTGGCCACCGCTCGAAGGCCCCAAGGAGCCATCCCTGTGTCGCAGACGATGTTCTCTCACCACCCCCGCCTCAGGCGGTGTCCTTGTGCCCATTCCACAGACGGGAAAAGCTGGCACTGCCAGAGAGACAAGCCCCTGTGGACAGAGCCTCCCCAGGTCTGCAGGGCGTGGGCAAGGCGCCACTGCGCACCGGCGGGTCGGGACGCTGCTCCTGCGCCAGGTCTCGGCCCCGCTCTGGGTCTCACCAGGCTGGTCAGACCTGCCTGCCAGTGCGGGGCCTCTCACCCCTCGGCCAGTGCGCTCGGTTCCCAGGCTCCCCACGGGATCTGGCCAGTCGCCCTCGGGTGGCAGTCCCTCCCCACTGCCTGCCATGCCCCACCCCCTGCCCCCCACCCCACCCAGACCAGCTGCCTGTGAGTCCTCTCTGGGCTCGACTTCTGGGGTGCCCAGCTGTGACAGGCCCTCTGCGGCGCCCCCCCCCCACCAGGGGCGTGTTGAAGTCAATTGGAGCCGGAAGCGGAGGGCAGCCCGGGGACCTGTGGGTCCAGGGCGGAGCAGCGGGCAGGAGCGGGCCCGGTGGGGGAGGGGTGGGCTCTCGGCCCTGAGTGACGCACCCAGAGACCCAGAGCCAGAGAGGACGGGTCTGGGTGACGCTGGGTGCTGCTGCCAACTTCGAGTCCCCTGAGCACTGGAGACATCCAAAGACATGGCCTGTGAGCTGAGGACCACCCCCCCCAGCGTGGACCCCCCCCCAGCTGCCCGCTGTGCGGCCACAGCCCTTGCACAGGCGGGGCCACAAACCATGGAACTCCCATGAAGACACTGTAACGGGGGAGGGGTCTTCCCGGGGGACCAGGCGGAGAGAGCCCAGCGATCAGGAGAGATGGGCCACCCTGCTGTGTCAGGAGCGTCTTTTGTCACTGATTCATGCTCAGTTCTGCAGTACGGACCATTGTTGAGTTAATGGGAGAATCGCAATTCTCTGCGTCTCCGTAACAGGTCTCATTAACTCTAAGCAAACATTCGGGAGGAAGGAGCTCCGAGTGACAAATCTAATTAAGGCTCCACAAAAAAAGTGATTCAAGCCTGCACCCACCTCTCCACTGTCTCACTCGGGGTGCAGCTGCGGCTTGATTAAGGGACAGCAGAGAGAAGCAGGTTCCGAGCGGAGCTGCCCGCTGGTTGGGGAGCTGGGGAGGGCCGGGAAGCCGGACCGCTCGAGACAGCGGCCGCGTCTCCAGGAGATTCTCAGCCGCCCAGCGGACGCGCTGTGCAGGCCTGTGAACCTCCGGACGCAAAAGCAGAGACTGGTTCTGTCCGGGGACTGCCCGGTGGCTCTGCTCTGTTGGTCTGGGGTTCAGGAGTCCACAAATCAGAGATTGGCGAGGGGGCTCTGAGTGATGGCACCCTGGGGCCAGTGGCGGGCGGCACAGGGAGGACCCCGGGGTGCCCGCCAGGGCTGGGGGACGCTGGTGGGTCTCCAGCTCCAGAGAGTGAGGCCTGCCTCGGGGGGAGGCTTCCTTCCCTTCCTCGGGGACGTGGCGTCCTCATTGTGTCCCGCCCTCCTGGATGTCCGGGGCCTGTCCCTGTCCTCTCTGCTCCCAGCACCTGACCCTCCCGGTCCCAGGTCATGAATGACCCTGCATGCTCCTGGGGGGAATCTGGGGAGGGACTCCAGCTGTCCAAGTGTGGGTGGTCCTTACACCATTCTCCACACGCAGAGATTCGGGGATGTTATTTTACTGTAAGCATGTGCAACCGGAAATGCCGTATCCGGAATAACTCCAGCGAGGGGAAAGCACTGGGCGCCGGTGACTGCCAGCCATCCGCCCAGAGCCGAAGCGTTCACATCCGTCTGCACGGATGCAGGAAGGTGGGGGGCTGCCGATCTGCAGGCCCCCTGCACACAAGGGTCTGCATCCAGCAGGAAGCCGTTCTGCACTGCAAAGCAGAAGGGAGCCCTCGACAGAAGAGGTACAGGCAACAAGGGGCTGAGGTGGCACCCGTACCTCCAGTGGCGTCCAGGATGCTGGTGACGGGACACGAGACGCCCGGCCACAGGTGTCGGGAGACAGAACCGGCGCTTGTGTCTGCCCGACACACCTGCTGGGGGGCCCGGGGGCATCAGCACCCCACGAGGGGCCCCCGGGAGCCCCGTCTGGGCCCTGCAGGTCGGAGAACTCAGAGAAGACGCTGGTCGGGTGCCAAGGGGCTGGAGGGGCCGGCCTGCCGCAGCCACGGCGTAGCTTTTCCGAGTGCACCCCGTGGGTGAGCCGTGTGGCAGGAGATTAAAAAAAAAAATACAGGCAGGTGTCAAGTCTCTCCACCACGGCACGTGATTCGGGAGCATGTCCCCCTGTGGGCTGGGGGGCAGGTGTCCGAGGAAAAGTCCGACACAGCTGCAGACACTCGCACCCAGAGAAGCGGAAGGAATCGAGGGGCTTCTTCAGCTCACAGGTCCCAGGGGTGGAGTCACGTGGGGGAGGTGCCCGAGGAGTGGGCTCACCCTGGCAGCTGGGGGCAGAGAGAGCAAGGACCAGGCAGGGGCCTCCGCTGGGGTTGGGGGGCACAGCAGACGTGAGGGACTTCTCTGGTCACAGTCAGGTGGGGTGAGAAGGGGACTTGTGGGCGGACGGCCTCACCGCGCAGGCGCACCCAGTCCCCTGGGCGGGGTGCTCACAGACGGTGGGATGTTGAGGCAGCAGGAAAATCGGAAGTTTTAAAAATACGCAATACAAAAGGGAGATCTTTTTTTAATGTTCAAGTAGAATAAGTGCTCTATAAAAATAGTGTCACATCTGCTCAACCGCGTGGAGCTGGGGTGCTCGCTGCTTTGGCTGTGGGTGGCTTCTCTCAGCCGAGTCCCCGGTGCTGGCACAGCCAGAGACCAAGCCTCAGGGTCCCGCTCCCCTTGGCTCCTGGCCACGGGCTCTGCGGCAGGGTCCCGGCTGGCCTTCAGGGACACCTGCCTCCCAGGAGCTGAGGTCGGCCTCTCCTGTCCCATCTGTGTCCCTGCTGGTGGCAGATGACCTCAGTCTCTCCACGTGAAGCTTCCCTTGAGCGTTGCGAGGCAAACATGGAGTGTGACTCAGACTCTGCAGAGCGGGTTTAAAAACCGCTCTGCTATTTTACATGTGCCAAGATGTTCCGGGGAGGAAAAGTCACTTTCCCTGTGACTTGGAAGGAGCCGAGTACGAGAGTTGAGTGAGCTCGGACCAGTGTGGTCCAGGACGGCAGGGGGCTGGCATGAGGTGACAGTCGGGAAGCGGACGGGACGCCCCTCGGAAGCGGCCAGGCGGCAGCAGCGGGCCTGGGCCCCGGGAGAGAGACCAGAAGAGGGTCTTCCCACGGTGTTCCCCGGTTCTGGCCCGTGAGGACCCAGGACCCCTGGGGAAGCTCGGCTGCCGGGCTGCAGGGCCCCTCCGCTGGGACGGCCGCGCCTTGAGCTGACGCGTCACCACTGCAGACAGTCTCTGCGACACTACGTAGCACGCGGGTCACACACATTTGTGTCTGTGGCTGCTGCAAGACGCGGCGAAGGAGGGGGTTCTGTGCAGAACGTTCACACGCGGTGGACCTCCCGGGGCCCTGAGCCCACTCTCACGCCCACACCGTCAGACCGGACCGGGCCGCCCGCGCTTCTCTGGCCCACGGCTCTGGCATTTCCGACGCCCTCACAGCGGGAAAGGCCGGCGGGGTCTGACGGAGGCAGCAGTGGAAAGCCTGGCTGGGCGGGGCCCCAGACCGGCCACAGTCTGTGCCCGCATGGCGGCCAGCAGGTCTCTGTGCGACGTCGTCCGGCCGGCCGCGCTCCCCGCACCGCCCTGGGCACTGTCCTTCACGCAGAGCGACTTCTCGGCTCTCCTCCCAGGACGCCGGGCTCTGGGTCTGGCCGTGACCAGAAGCCTCCTCCTCTCGGCACCGCCGTCTGCCGCAGCTGCACTGCCCGCCCAGTCCCACTGACCAGACAGCCCGCCCGCCGGCGCCATCCGCCCAGCAAGCTGGTCCCTGCCCGAGGGCCTCTGCCCCGGCCGTCCGCCAGGCCCAGGCCTCCGCATGGTGCACACTGTCCCTTCACGGTCTGGGCTCCACCTTCTCCCACTCGGGGGCCACAGGGAGCCACTGTCTCAGCTGCAGCCCCAGGGACCCTGTGTGCAGCGGCACCCCGGCCCCACCCCCGCCTGGCACTGCGCTTCCCCGGGTGGCACCAACTGCCGTTGTGGGGAATCGACGTGAGCAGGACAGCAGCTCCGTCCGCAGCGCTCAGTGCTGCTTCGTGGGGCGGGTGGGGCACAGCGGGCGTCTCATTCACCCTTGAGGACAGACGGACAGGCGATGGACAGGTGGATGCGTGGATGACTGGGTCTGTGAACAGCTTTACTTCCGTTCCATCTAAGGGGACTCAGTCTCCCGACCCCGGAAAACCCCTTGGTGAGTGATGAAGGCCTGGGCTCCCGTTCAGGGCTGAGAGTGTGTTTGTGTGTGCCAGTGTGTGTGTGTGTCCATGTGTGAGTATGTGAGTGTGTCTGTGTTTGAATGTCCGTGTGCAAGTGTGCAAGGTGACTGACCGTACAAACGGCGAACTACACGCAGCCTGTGCTGGAAACTCAGCAACGTGGGACCACCACGGTGGCCTCCGGACAAACAGCAGAAGCACGGCAGACACCTGGGGGAGGGACGCGCGCACTTCCCAGGAGGGGGCGCTCTGCGGGCGCCCGTCCTGCCGCCCCAGGAAGCTGTGTTGCGTGCACCCGAGGCCGTGCGGGGAGCAGGGCCACCGGGCCACGGGCTCCCAGGACGGCCACCTTTGGTCTTCGTCAGCCTGAGGACAGCGCCACGCCGGGAATCCGTCTGCCGCACAGAGCGCTCGAGCTTCTGGAGAAAGGCAGGCAGGCTCCCTGCCTCGTAGGGCTCCGGCGCACGGACATGGCACCCGACCCGGCAAGCTGGAGCCAGTCCCGTCTCCCCTTGAGGCACTCGCGACCCCCCACGCCCTGCACCAGGACAGCGCTGGCTGGGGCCGCAGGAGGCGGAGCAGCCGGGGAGCCCCAGGGGCGGAGTCCGGGCTGGGTGGGGAAAGCCAACGGCAGGGCCTCTGAGCCTGTGTCTGGCCCAGGCCCGCCCAGGTGGTGGGACACTCAGACACGCCCGCTGTCCGAGTGCAGGGTGAGTTCCCATGACGGTTCGTCTCAGCAGTGAGCCTGGGGCTGCGTATGGCCGCTGCCACCTCAACCTGGAGAATGAGAGCCCCCCCCCCCCCCCCCCCCCCCCCCCCCCGGCATGGTGGGCTAGGAAGCTGGTTGTACCGGAAGTGGGGGCAGCTGACCATCCAGAGACTGCCAGGATGGGGGCCCCTCCTGTGGCCAGATACGCTGGGTCTGAGCAGCCCCAGAAACTGGACTACGTAGGCAAGAAAGGAGGGGCAGAGTGGGGTGAGCCCCGCCCCACCCTCGGGGCTGCCCGCCACCCAGCTGCAGTGGGCAGGAGCCTGGCTGGCTGCGGTCCTGCCCTCGGTCAGGGCCCGGGCCCCAGAACGCTCCCGGGCCCACCAGGCTGGGACCTGCAGGCAGAAGTGACCTGGGGAGGCCCCCCACCCCCAAGGCTGATTCTCACTTAGGGTGGGTGCTCTGGCTACCAAAGAAACTCGCTCACATTTTCCCAGGAAATTTTGTAAGGGGGTTGGGAAAATGTGCTTATTTCTTTTCTAGAACTGCCCAGAACCTAATTATAGCTGAGTGCAGCTGGGAGCCTTCCCTCAGATGTTACCAAGAGCTCAAGGAATGTCAGCCTTCTTCTGACAAAAAGAAATAGGAATTTTTTTACCAAAAGCTGTGGCTGGTCACAGGCAAAGCAGGGCTCCTGGGCCAGGAGGGGCCGTCACGGGCTGGTCATGGACCAGCAGAGAAAATGCTGGAAAAGGCGTCTCGGAGGAGAGGGGCTCCTCCCGGTGGCCCCGGGGTCAGCCAGGAGGGGCTGGAAGGTGCAGTTTCTAGAAGGGCGGCCCCACCTCCGGAGCGGCGTGGGAGACACTGGGGCGGGGAACAGTCCGCCCTTCCTCCCCCCGCCCGAGGGCACCCCTGAGTCTGTCTTCACGGGCCCCTCCTCCCCGGCCTGCCCCTAAATCTGGGGGGACTAGGGCTCTGCCTTTGACCTTCGCCCCGTCACCCCACACTGCCCTGGGAGCGGGGTGGAGACACCGGCATCATCTCCTCATACAATGCACAAGTCGGTGCCACACCTGGCCTCTCCCCTGAGCTCCAGCCCCAGGTGGCAGGTGGCTCCCGTCTCAGTCCGATGTAGCCCCGCCTGCCCGGGGACTTCCTGCCCCTGCCCATGTCCCCCTGGGTGTCCCGCCCGGCCTGCTGGCCACGCCCTCCCAGCTCGCGGCTGGCTTTCACTCCTTCCCGCAGACAACCATCTGCCGCCCTCCACGGCCGTGGAGTGACTTCCTCGGCTGGCCTGGGTCCGGCTGCGCTGCAGGGACCCTCCGCAGAGGGGGGTCCGCCCCCTCCCTGTGACGAGCCTCTGGTCCCCACCAGAGCAGAGATGTGCTTGTGGGGCGCCTCTTCCCTTCCACGGATGAACCCACTTTCCAGAGTCGCCCCTCCTTATCCGCGGGACAGACCTTCCAGGACCCGCAGTGGACGCCCAAACCACGGAGAGTACCGAGGCCTACAGCACCCGGTTTCCGGTCCGCACACACCTGTAATGAAGTTGGATGTACAAACTGGGCCCCGTGAGAGAGTGACAATAACTAAAATAGAAGCAGCACAGTGACGGGCTCTCGCAGAAGTTGTGTGGCCGTGGTCTCTCCTCTCCCCAAATGTCTCGCCGTCCCGCCCGCAGCCTTGTGTGTCGACCGGCCGGGCACCCACGGGGTGTGAGGCAGGTGCCGTTGGAGCAGCGCCAGCGTGAACTTCATTTTCTTCTCCAGGATTTGACACTTTGAAGAACACTCGTTCCTGGGGGAACCCTCGGTGTGCGACATTTGTTGTCCCTAAGTCAGAGCGTCCACCGTCCGGCTTTACCAAAAGAATTCACGGCTTCTCTCCGGTGAATCCGAGTCGCCAGCACCCCCTCCTGAGCTCTGGGGCCAATGTGAAGTAGAATAAGGGTGACGTGAACGCAGGCACCGCCCTGCCACGACGGCTGATCTGACGGCCGAGACAGCGACGGAGTGACCAAAGGGACAGCGTCCACACTGGGCAAAGGCCGAGTCCCATCCCGGGAGGGACGGGGAACATCGAGGTTCTATCACGCTGCTCGGAACACTGCGCAACTGAAGACTGATACGCTGTGGATTTCTAGTTTTTCCATCTAATATTTCGGACCGTGGGTGACCGAGGCGACTGAGAGAAAGGAAAAGCACGGAGGGGGCAGCTGCAGACGCCGGGCTGACGCAGCAGGTGCCGCCGGCAAGTCCAGAGCGAGCCTACGGCCGCGAGGTGTGGGGACCCAGGGACAGGCCGTGGGGCCCGGGGCAGGCGGCCTTGTCCCCCTCGTGGTCCCACCGAGTCCAGCTGGCACGCGCCTGCTCCCCTGAGCCACACGAGGACCTCAGCTGCCCACAGACCTGCCGGGGAAACATGTAGTAAAAGCCACAAACGGTTCTCTCCACCTGCAGACCAGAGACCGAGGATGAGGAAGCCTCCTTCCCCTCAGACTGAGCCCCAGCCTGGGCCCCACTCTGTGAATAGAGGCCCCAAGGCAGAGCCGGGCTGCAGGGCGGCGGGGGGTGGGCTTTTTGGGGCTCGCTGAGCCACGGCCGGGGCTCCCCTGCAGAGGCCAGCGTATCTTTGGGGGTGCAGTACGTGCACCCTGTCTCTCTGGACTGTCCTCGCCTGTGGGTGGAGCCAAGGCCATCGGCGTGAAAACATGGCCTGAGCTTGGAGCCCCTTGCCCAGGCAGCAGCAGACCAAGCCTCGCCCCGCAGCCACCTCGCAGACCGCCAAGGTCGGAATGGGCTGCGCGTCTTCTAAGCCCAGGGCCGGAGCCACACGCCCTCCCCTCAAAGCCCTTGTGCATCTGCCCCCACTGACCTCTTCTTCCTCCAGGCTCCTCCTCTGAGTGTCAGGGTCTTTGAGGGGTTTAATACTAAGAGCCCCTGGTCCCCACCCAAGTTCAGAACCAACTGAAAAGAGCACAGAGGTTAAGACATGTAACGCCCAAACAATAACCATTATTACCACCAATCACGATGCTCTCCCCTTCCTGCTCTCCCGCCCCCTCCCCCACATTGTCACCGTGCTCTGAGGGGGCCCAGGCCACATGCCGGAGCCAGGCAGCTGTTCTGGCCAGTAGCCCCACTGAGGTTCCAGCCACAGGCCAGCAGCACAGCCCCTGGTGACGCTAAGTGGGACCTGAGGAGCGACTCTGAGTGCCCAGACTCTCCACGGCTGGGTCTGGCCAGACACCGGCTGTCTGTCCTGCCCACGGCAGCCCTGTACGCAGAGCAGGGCCCCAGCACCCCGCCCCAGCTCTGATGCTGAGGCCTGCACCCCCACCATTTGTCTGAGTGTCTTAGCCGTGACTCCTCCCCCAAGGCCCATCCCACCTTAGCCCTGGATCCCAGACAGGCCCCACCCAGCACTGAGCCCTGCAGGTGGGTGAGCAGGGCCTCTCCCCATGGGTCAGCCACACCCCGAGGCCACGTCTGCCCCAAGTGGCACCAGGCAGGCGGCCCCCGGAGCCCCCGGCACGGTCCAGGCCGAACCCTCTCTGTTCCACTACACCGGGCAGAAGGCTGCACAGCCCGCGTTGACTGGGGCTCAGAGTGAGCTCTGCTGTTGCTTTGCTTCTCTCTGGGGGGTCGCAGGCCTCCCAGGCCCACCCCAGGAGAAAAGAGCTGAAGAATGGCTTTCTGGGGCCGGGAGGGGTGGGCATGAGCGGCAGCTGCATAGGGGCAGTGCTGTCCGGACAAGGCGGAGCCTGTGGCGGGGGGCAAACTGGGGACGGGGACTCTGCTGAAGACGGTGAGGAAGAGGCCAGACTCCCTGCAGGTCTGGGCTCAGAGCGGGTCCTCATTAAAACCCCCGGCCACGCCGGCTCCTCGTCCAGCCCTGCAGGAACCAGGCGACCCGCCTGCTGTGAGCATCAGGGCCCGGGGAAGGGCCTGGGGTCGGGGTTGGGAGGAATCGGGCTACAGGTCCGAGGGCCGGAGACACGTCCCTGCCTCCCCTCTCTGGGCCTGTTCGGGGTCACCCCAAGGAGGCCAGCACCCCTCGGCCCTGCTCCCAGCCAGGCCACCCCGGCCCTCTGGTGGCACAACCAACACCCCGTCCACTGTTCTCTCTGTTTTCGTGGGCAGATCCACCCTCACCAGGGTGGGGGCCGTCGGAGGTGCAGGACCAAGGGCAGTGACGACCAGATGGTCTGGTCCGGACATGCGCGCAGGGCAGGCCTCCAGGTGAGCACCACCCTGCGTCTGCACCCAGCCATTGAACACCCCGGGGCCACCTCATTGTGTGGTGACAACAGGGAGGCTGGACAGTTAAGTGACGGTCTTGAGGTCACAAGGCCGAAGCCCTGGAGCTGGGGTGGAACCTACACCGGGGAAGGTGGAGTCAGCAGAGGGCGGGGCCCTCTGCCTGGGGTGCTGGCCCTGGAGTCCCAGGGCAGTGCCATCCAGTGGGGACACACCGAGGTCTCCCCAAATGCCTTGGGAACCAGCAAGCCCGCCTCGGGGTTGACACTTCAGTTTTTTCAGACACCAAGCAGGGCAGAGGCCCCTCCTGCCCGACCAGCGGCCCCGCACTGGCTGCCGACGTGTCCCGAGCTCCTGCTCAGCGCTGCCCGCACCGTGGACTCCGGCTGCAGAAGTTCAGAGCTCGGCACCACGGTGCGCGTGCTGTTCTGTATTAAATTAGATTTCAATAAAACATGTTTCACACTGCATTTCATGGCAATCCTGCCTCGAGAAGCCTTCCCGGCACCTGCTTTGAGCCATTCAGCTCCTTCCCAGAGGCTTCCGGCAGAAACAGCCTGAGCCCTCATTTAAGTCAGAAACGCAATATTTAAAGAATAACCTCCCTTTACAGCGACGCATAAATCGCGGCGCGCTCCGCAGCTGCTGCACGGGCGCGGCAGCTCTTTCTGAGCCGCGTAAACAAGTCTCAGAGCTCGGGGGGGGGGGGCAGGTATGTGGCCGGGCATCGCGTGTGCGATTCAGGGGGAAGTCCAGGAGGTGAGGGCTGGAACCTGTGCAGCCGACGCGCCGCAGACTCTGGTGGCACGGCCGCCTTTCGGGGGCGGGGGGCGGGGGGGGGGCAGAGCTTTTCGCTGCTGCAGCCCCTTCATCCCTGCGAATCTCATTCCAGGGGAATGGCTACTGATGGCTACATGGTTGTGTCCATGGGTTTGAGAATGGCTACGAGGGGTTTGGTTGTAAAGCCTCATGAGACCAGAGCCGCAGTTTCCACGGTCGCCCACTCTCAAACCTGCCTCCTTTCTCAGGTTCTCCCTCCCCCGGGAGGAAGGGGGCAGGGAGGAAAACGCCCCGTGGTTTCCCGCACGCTCGGTGGAGGAGCGCACAGGCACGCGCTGGCCATGGCCTGGTTGAAATTCCCCAAACGGCAGAGCGTCGCTGTGCCTCTCTCCTTGAAAAAGGACATTTGAGCTGTGAACACAGTATGACAATTTCTCAAAAACATAAACAGAGAACGCCCATACGACCCAGCAGTTCCGCTCCTGGGTGTAGACCCCAAAGTCTTGTGGCGAGGGATCTCTGCACCCCAACTTCACAGCAGCGTCACTCACTGCAGCTGAACCGCAGGGGTGACCTGGGTGCCCATCGACTGAGGGGGGGTAACGGAGCTCGGCCCCCCACGTGGGGGGTGCGGCGCAGCCCTGGAAAGGAAGGGCTTTCTGACACAGACTACGACATGGGGGACCCTCGGGGACGTGTGACCCATGAACATGCGAGCGGGTCCCAGAAGGACAAACGGGGTGTGATTCCACTTACGTGGGGGACTCGGCGTCGTCAGGCTCAGAGTCCTCACAGAGGCCGAGAGCAGAGGGTGGCGGCGGGGGGCTGGGGGAGGGGCGTCAGTTTGGGGTGACAAGAACATGCTGATGGTGGCACAACATCATGAATGCATTTCAGTGCCACCGAGCTGCTCGCCCCAGAGTGGTCTGTTTTTCACTACGGACATCGGAGCACCAACTTTAGAAAAGCTTTTGGTGACCAGAGCCTTCCTGAAAGAGAGTCCACACGTGGAGGTCCTTGGGACCCCCTGGGCTGGGCTCGGGACACAGCCCGGTCTGTGAGGTCGTGTGTCGTGTCCGTGCCCCCCCCGCCCCCCCGCCCGTGGAACAGAACCCTGGGGAGCAGGCCCCCAAGCCCCCCCCCCCCGCCTACCCCACCCAGCCCCGCCCCCTCTAACCAAATCTGTCAGACCGAGTTAGGTTTTGAATAGGTAATTTCTCCCTTTTCAATTTTCTGTTTTTAAGTATATCTTATTGATTATGCTATTACGGTTTTCCCAAATTTCCCCCTTTATCCCCCTTTGCACTGCACACCCCCACCCTCCAGCATTCGCCCCCTTAGTTCCTGTCCACGGGTTGTACATATAAGGTTTTGAGTTCTCTGTTTCCTATACCATTTTCGATTTCTCCCGATTTCTATTTTATACCTACCAATTATACTTCTTCCCTGTACCTTTTCCCCTCTATTCCTACCTTCCCCCTGCCTGCTGATAACCCTCCACGTGACCTCCATTTCTCTCATTCTGTTCCTGTTCTAGTTGTTTGCTTAGTTTTTGTTTTCATTGTTTGTCTTTTCTTTTAGGTTCAGTTGTTGATAGTTATGAGTTTGTTGTCATTTTACCATTCATATTTTTATCTTCTTTTTCTTAGATAAGCCCCTTGAACATTTCATAGAATAAGGGCTTGGTGATGATGAACCCCTTGAATTTGACCTTATCTGGGAAGAACTTTATCTGCCCTCCCATTCTAAATGAAAGCTTTCCTGGATAGAGCAATATTGGATGTAGGTATTTGCCTTTCCTGACTTGGAATACTTCTTTCCAGCCCCTTCTTGCCTGTAAGGTCTCTTTTGAGACATCAGCTGACAGTCTGATGGGAACTCCTTTGTAGGTGACTCTCTCATTTTGTCTTGCTGCTTTTAAGATTCTCTCTTTATCTTTAATCTTGGTTAGTGTAATGATAATGTGCCTTGGTGTGTTCCTTCTTAGGTCCAACTTCTTTGGGACTCCCTGAGCTTCCTGGACTTCCTGGGAGTCTATTTCCTTTGCCAGATTGGGGAAGATCTCCTTCATTATTTGTTCAAATAGGTTTTCAATTTCTCGCTGTTGTTCTTCTCCTTCTGGTACCCCTAGGATTTGGATGTTGGAACCTTTTAGGTTGTCCCAGAGATTCCTCAGCCCCTCTTCATTCTCTTGAATTCTCATTTCTTCGTTCTGTTCTGGTTGGGTGTTTATTTCTTCCTTTTGTTCCAAATCTTTGCTTTGAGTTCTGGTTTCCTTCCTGTCACTGTTGGTTCCCTGAACACTTTGCTTTATTTCATTTTGCGCGTCATTCATTTGCTTTTTCACTTTTCAACCAACCTCAGTCAGTCCTGTGAGCATTTTGATGATCAGAGCTTTAAACTCTCCATCTGGCAGGTTGGCTGTCTCCTCATCGCTTAGCTCTCTGTCTGGAGTTTTGCTCTGTTCTTTCATTTGGGCCGTATTTCTTAGTCTTGGGGCACCTGTTAGGTTGTAAGGGGGCAGGGCCTTAGGTGTCCGCCAGGGGCGGGACCACCCTCCTTGCTGCCTGTGGTGCTGTCTGGGGGAGGGTTCAGAGAGGGCGCCATGCGGCTCACCTGCCCGGCTCCAGCCCACTCTCCAACACACTCTTGCGTGAGACTGGGAGTCTCTCCCACTGTGGCAGCCCCACCGTAGTGCACAGGGAGCCGAGTCTCAGTTTCCCGTTCAGCCAGCCCCGCGCGTGTGGTCTGCTGTCTCGCTGCGGGTTCTCAATGGTCCGGTTGTTCTGGTCGACTGTTTCTTTAATTCCTTGGTTGTCGGAGCTCCACGCAGTTTGACTTTTCTGGCACCTCTGGTTGTTTATTGACTTTAGGTCGGTGGTTACCCTCCTTTTGGTTGTGCGAGGAAGCGAAGGGTTTCTACCTACACCTCCATCTTGGCCAGAAGGCCCTTCTCAATTCTCTAGAATTCTCGGGTCATTGGGGGCAGGGAGGCAGTGCCCACCGCCTCTCCCACCTCTGCCGCTTTGTTCGCAGGCCCCAGGCAAGGTGAGCAGATCTCAAGTATCGGTCGTGGGGGAGGGAAGGCGAGACGCCATCGAGAGGCTGTCCTGGTAGAAACATTCCTGCCCGTCGTACAGACCGTCAGTCAGTGACGCTGGGCCCGGAGCTGGGAGTGGCAGTGAGGTCGCTGTGTGGCCACATGCAGGCCCCCGGGGGCTCAGTGGGATCTGACAGTGTCTCTCTGGGGCTGTGCTCAGAAGCCAGCGAGATGGGCGACGGTCACCTTGCCCCTGCAACCCCAAGGGAGGGCCACCCTGTGTGCCTGGGTGAGAGCATCAAGGGGCAAGACAGACCCATCCTGGGGTCCCCAGGGCCAGCCGTCGGTATAGTGGTGCCACCTCGAGAGCCTGATACTCACAGTCAGTGCCTTGGGCTGGTCAGGAACCCATACGACGAGGCCAAGGGCCGCCCGGAAGTGGCCGAGCTTGGGAGGGGACCCCCTGCCCCTTTCCTCTGTAGCGATGCCCGCTCCTCCTGGGGGTCCTCAGCCTGGAGTCTGTGGGGGGAGCCATTGCAGGGGATGGGGGTCCGGGAGAAGATTGGAGTGGAAGGCGAGGGGGGGCAGGTCCAGGGGACAACAGAGCTGGTCAGCACTGGGGGAGGGTGGGCCTGTGGCCCTGGGACCCCATCAGGCAGGGGTGGCCCGTGGGCGTCAGATCCCTCCGGCTGGGTGTGTGCAGCGTGGCTGAGCGGGGCGGGCAGCAGCAAACAACCCCCAACACAGGGGGAAGCTGCACGGTGGGCTGAGGAGGGGTGTGGCCAGGTACCTGGCACAGGTGGTGGCCAGCCCAGCTGAAGGAAAAAGGAGGACCGGGAACGTGGAAGGCAGGTGTGTGGGGCTCACGGGGAAGACGGGGAACCTGAGGCCCAGAGAAGCGCTAGAGCGAAGGGGACCGAGCAGAGCCCAGGCCGGCGACCTTCCCTCCACATGGGCCGCTGGGGACTTGGAGTGGGACACTTGGGGCCAGGGGGCCCGGTCCGCTGCCACAGGAGCCGAGGGCCAGGAGTCCTGACGTCCCCCACACGGGAAGCACCATCGTGCCCGACACGCTCGTGCGATCCATAGCGAGAGCAGGCAGCTGCTGCCCTCAAGACGCTCACGGTCCAGGAAGAGACTTTTGTGCAGAGAGGTTTGGACGCTTGCTTAGTGGAGGGATTGCCTGTCTTTCCTGGACGCACTCAAAGGAGAGGGGACACCTCAGGGGGCTCTTAAAATGGGGGCTCTTTGCACAGCAGAGACTGGGCAGAGGCCGTCCTGTCCACATGCAGGGTCCACCCCTCACAGTGGGGCAGGGGCAGGGGCGCGGCCTGGAAAGGAACCGGAAGCCAGAGCCGGCTCACGGAGGACCCGTGCGGCGCAGAGTGTGGAAGGCACGTCCCCGGACCCGGGGGCTGTTCACTGCGACGACTGCCCGCCATGCCTCCTGCCGCCCTCCTCAGCTCTGCGGGGCTGGGCCCCACCGGCTCATCTCTGCCGGGCCCTCACTGCCCTTGGCTGGGCCGACTACCGGTGGGCCGGGGAGGGTGGTGCCGCCCACCTCCAGAGGGCTCACTCGCCTTGTTCTCGCCGCAGGGCCGGGCTCCCCTGCTCTGTGGCCACTGTGGCCACAGGGCCGCCTGATTCGGGGATGGTGCTAACTCCGCCTCCCGAAGGCAGGAGACCGTGTCACAGCCAGGACAGGGAGAGACGCCGTTCTTTCAATGTGCCGCACCACGGAGTATATGGACCTCCCGACACTGGGTGGCCCCCGGAAGTTTCTGTTTGGAACGTCATGTTTTCATGAGCCAGCTGACCCCTGTCCCCGGAGGTTCTTCTGGCCCAGGGGCACGCCAGCAGAAGGTCCGCACTGTGAGTGCTCAGGGTCCTCAGGTGCCACCCTTCCCCTGCAGGCACGGAGTCCCCAGGGGCAGGTGACTGCTCCGCGCCGGGCGTCCCACTCTGGGGAGGAGCGGGCGGGCAGCCGAATCCGTGGGCCCCGCCCGGGGGCTCTTCCACCCCCCACAGCTTCACGCTAACGCCTCCTGTAAAGGAGCTGAACGGAAGTGTGGCCACCAACATCCCCGCCTCTCCGTATATTGGCCCAATTCGGGGCTCTAGGACATAAACATAAAACAGGAGCAAAAATTAAAAAGAAAACCTAGGAGCTTTTCCAATAAAGCGCGCGCAGCTGGAGCCGCGGCCCTCCTCTCGGCGCGGGGCCTCCGCCCGCTCTCCCAGGCCGCTGGTGCGTGAAGCCAGTGTGATGGAGGGATTCAATTTCCTAAAGAGCCAGTTAGCAATTAAACCCAGAATGTCTGGGAACAGATATTAAATTCTAAAGAGAATTGCCATTTAAACTTTAACTTTTCCGAGCAACAGAGGGATAATAGGGAACAGCTAGGACGTATCTCTTGAATTTCAGTGAGGAAATTATACAAATTGAGGTCGAATGCCCTTTGGGATTCTTTGAATGAATTGGTGACCTTGATAGGAGACTAGGGAGCAGCCGGGGTGTCGGGGTGTCCTGGGGGGTGTGCGTCTGCTCGTGTCCCAGTTTCCGGACCTGGTGATCATCCAGCTGTTCTTGGCACATTGATTAGGGGCCACTGGAAGGACTGCTTGCTCTAAGCAGATGGTTCTAGAAATACAGTCCATCCACTGTAAGGAAAACAGGCATCGGTCCTTTCCCCCCGACTCTGTCCTTGCTCACCCGATGGTTTTCCGTGAGCCTGAGAACACGCCACATGCAGGGCACACGCAGACCCCGGAGTCCAGCAGCGGACATGGTGGTCAGGGACCGGCTCCCACCGTCCACCTCCAGGTTCAGGAGCCGCAGAGGCTGCTCGTGGGGACATGGTCCTCAGACCCTTGTCCTCGGCCGGAGAGGCCCAGGCTCCAGTCCAGCTCCGGCGCGGACCGTTCCCCCGGGCTCAGCGCCCGTCTGGTCTGTCCAGGTGCGTCGGCCTGGGTTGTCCTCGACCTCACACGGCACCGAGGCGGCTGCGCCCTGGGGTTCCCCCGGGCAGGTCCCACCCGTTCCCCCAACCTCTCCGGGCTCGGGCTCGGTGTGCGCGTAAGCATGATGCGGGTGCCACCAGGGAAGTGCTCGGACGTGAGATTAATCGCCGTGGAGACCTGCTGCTTTGCTGACACGGCGCTTGTGCGTAAGTGTGGCAAAGGTCAACTGTTTGTCCGGAACCAGGGAAACCGAAAGCGGTAATTCAAACATCACAGGCGTGGAGGCCGCGCCTGTTCATTGCCGGAGAGTCTGGTTGAAGGGGGAACAGGAGTTAAACAATCTCCACCAGGGAAAAATGGTACATGGTCTGAAACTTGAAAAATTTTTTTAAGGAAAGATTTTATTTATTTTTAGAGAGAAGGGAAGGGAGGGGGAAACAGGAAAAGAAACATCACTGTGTGGTTGCGTCTCACACACACCAGGGGCCTGGCCCGTAAACCAGGCATGTGCCCTGACTAGGAACTGAACCTGCAACCCTTTGGTTCACAGACTGGCACTCAATCCACTGAGCCACACCAGCCAGGGCTGAAAATGCTTTTTAAACATGAGCAAGCAAACCCACACTCTAGAGAGGATGGTCAAAATGACCTTGCTTGGTGACGCCCTTCCGGAAAGCTCTCCCCCGGGAGGAGACCAGGCCTCCCGAGAAGCCACAGGCGGGCCGGGTTTCTGAGCCCGGCACAGACTCGGCCACGCTCTGAGCCGCGGGGTAGCCGGCTCGCTCGCGGTGGTGGGGCTTCCGCTCCTCCCGATGGCCCCCCTCACCCCTCGAGCTCGGCCACTCCCTTCTCCTGGCTTTGGAGTGGAGGTTCCCCAGAAAAACTCGCCCCCACATCCCCCCCGAAGCCTCGCCCAGCCGTCTGGTCCCTCTTCTAAGAAGAGTCGTCCCTGCTTGCTTCCTCCGTGAGCTCATTCTGGTCCCACGGCCCCACGCCCATTCACGTGTCCGAATAGCTGAGTCCAAAGACACCTCAGTCCTCGTCATCAACGCCGGGCCCCGCCCGAGGCGGGTCCCCTCCGCATCCCTCCCCAGGCTCACCTCCTCCCGGGGCGGCTGAGGTAAAGCTCCTCGTGCCCCTCCCCCCGGACATCCACACCCGTCCTCCCCAGGGCGCCGTCACCACTGACACGCGTGGGACTCATGTGTCCTGTGTCCGGTCCAAACGTCTCCCAGGAGCGCCAGGCCCCGGCCCCCGGTTGGACTGCAGCATGTGAACGCCGCAGCCCCTCCAGCTGCGTGTCCCGGCCGAGTCCCCACGGTCACGCCTCCCAGGTGTGGGCCTCGGGGTCCGCCGTGCGCCCTATTCCTTCCCACACGCACACACACACTCACACGCGCTCCACATACGGTATCCAACACCACATCAGGCTCGTTTTGTTCCGGGTTTCTCTCGCGTTCACCTGGTCCTCCTCACCCCCACTGCCCACCCCCTGACACGCTCGCTCCCTCCTGCTGCGCCTCCCCGTCCATGTCCCTCGAAGACCCACCCGCGGCCGCCTCTCCGCGCCGTGGCCCACCTGGCCTCGAAAAGCCGAGCTCGTGGTTTCAGCTTCTTCCCCAAGAGCCCTCCCTCCTCCGCAGACAGAGCCCCCCGCCTGTGCCACATGCCCTCCTGTCTGCCCCCATGGCCTCCTCTCCCCTGCCCGGCCAGCGGCCAGCGTGCCCGCTCCCCACCGCAGGCCCGTGGCACCCTGCCCGCCCCCAGGAGCCGCCCCCCGCCCCCGCGGCTCCATCCGCCGGCGCCGCCTCTGCCCCGCTCTCCCAGCCTCCCCCAGACCAAGTCCGCGCTGCAGTAGGAACTTCCACGGCCCCACGGACGAGCCTCTGTCCCTGTCGGCCGGCTCTCTGCCCACAGCCCCGGGAGAACGGGACTGGCTCAGACACCCCTCCCTGCCCAGCCTGGCCGGGTCACCCGCCCACACGGGGAGGGGGGGTCCTGTCCCCGACGTGCCTCGGCTCGCTCCTGAACACCGGTTCCAGGCAGCCTGGGCCCTTCCCGCAGGAGGGGCTGGCCCCGGCTCGTCCCTCTCTCGTGTGAGGTAAGGACTTACATGATGACTCTGTCCTCCGAACAAAGGTTTAGGTGTGTGGCACAGTCTGATCAGCTGCAGGTGCAGGGTCACGCCGCACGGCCCTGGACCTCCTTCCTCTGGCGTAACCGGACCGACTGGGCCCCACACTCCCGCGTCCCCACCGCAGGCCCTGGCCGCCACCCTTGCTGTCTGTCTGCGAGGACGGCTGTCTAGATGCCGCGGGGAAGTGGGTCCGTGGAGCACGCGTTCTTCGGTGACCACGAGGTCCACGTGTGTGCTCACACACGACAGGTTTTTCTTCTTTCTCCGGCTGACAGCGTCCCTCCCATTGGGGGGACCGGCCACACCTCCTCCACCTGATGGCTGCTCAGTGGGCGTTGGCTATGGTGACCGACGCCGCCCTGAGCGCGGGGGAGCCGATCCCTTCGGGAGGCTGGTTTTACTTCCTTTGGATCCAGGCCCAGGCGCGGGGCTGCTGGGTCACAGGGCAGCTCGGACCCGCCGTGCTGTTCCCACAGGGGCTGCACCGACCTCCTCTCCTACCAGTGGGGCCCGGGGCTCCCCTCTCCCCGCATCCTCCCAGCACCTGCGTGTGGGGGGAGGAGCGACGGCTCCCTAACAGGCACTGCGGGTTCCACAGGGTGTCCCTGACGACCAGTGAGGCCGTTTCATGCGTCTTCAACCATTTTCGCGTCTTCTTGGGAGAAGTGTCTATTCGAGTCCTTGGCCCATTTGTAAACCTGTTGTTGTTGGTTTTCTTTTCTCGTGTCTTTTTCTGCCAGTGAGTTGCACGAACTCCGGCTCTAGTCTGCTGGTGCGTCCTCCCGACCCCTCGGCGGCCGGCCGGCCCCTTCGTGGGTAGGGGCCTTTCGGTCGGACGTGGTCCCGCTCTTCTGCTCCTGTGCTTGGGGCCTGTGCTTGTGGCTGTCCCGGCCAAGACGTCGTTGCCAAGACGGACGCCACAAAGCTCTCCCCCGACGCCTTGCTGGGTGTTCACTTTCACATCTGGCGTCTCTGTCTCTGGCCACCTTGAGGTGTGTGCGTGGCCGGGGTGAGACAAGGGCCCTGTTTCGCTCTCTGCGCGTGGAAATCCGACACCGTTCGCTGAAGACGCTGCGCCTCCCCCAACGCCTGTGGCTTCGTGGTGCATCGGAAATCAGCCAGTGCGACGCTCCCGCTTTGCTCCTCTTTCTCGGGGTCGCAGGGGCTGTTCCCACTCCTCTGTGGTTCCCGTGAGTTTCAGGATGAGCCTTTCTGCCTCTGTGAACACGCCTTTGGGCCGTGGATGGCGACTGCGCTGCATCCGTGGGTTGTGTCGGCCGCCGTGAAACGTGGGTGCTCGGACCGTGTTGGGTCCGTTTCTCTGAGTCTCCTTTGATTTCTCTGGTCGTGGTGACGTCCAGGGTGCAGCTCCTTCACGACGGGTGTTACTTTTGTTCCAAAGTGTTGTGTTCCTTCTGCCGCTGTTGAAGATGGGGTTGCCCTCTCCATTTCCTCTTCAGATGGTCCGTCGTCAGCCTGTGCAAACACAGCGGATTCCTGTGTGCTGATCTCGTGTCCCGCGACTCGCCGAGTTCGTCTGTCCTTCTAACAGTTGTTTCGTTGGGTCAGTTTTTGCGTGGAAGATCGTGTCGTCGGCTGCAGAGGTCGCTTCACTTCTTCCTCTCCGATGAAAATGCCTTTCCCCCTCACTGCCCCCTTTACCGGGTCACTCGGACGTCCCAGCGCCCCTCCCCCGGCAGCCCTTCCCTGTTCCTGCTGCCCCCAGCTTCCTGTCAGTGTCCCAGTCAACTGTTGCTGCAGAACCCGCCACCACGAAGAAACTGCATTTCCTCGTGTGCTGGCTTGTGGGGTGGCGGCCGGAGGACACCCCTGGAGGACACCCTGACCTGGATCCCCGTAAATGCGTCAGGTCTTATGGCAAAGGTGAATTCACCTGATGGCTGATCAGTGGGCCCTTAAGTGGGAAGGCTACCCTGGACTGCCCGGTGGGCCCTGGTGACCACCGCACCCTCCACAGAAGGGGCAGGAAGGAAGGGGAGTCCCCTGTCGGTCAGGGGACAGGTCAGGGGCCGCCTCGGGGACGGGGGAGGGACCTGCCAGCCAAAGAGTGTGGGCACCGCTGGCGTCTGTGAAAGGCACCCAAACAGACACGGCCCCGGAGCCTCCGGAAGGGGGCGGCCCTGCCCCCCACGCTGGTCTTGGCCCTGCGAGACCCTCGTCAGACTCCTGACCCCAAGGACTCGAGGTCACATGTGCTGTTTGAGCGACTGCGTTGGCGGTGTTTGTCCCAACCAGCGAACCCCGGGCACATGTCCGCACCCTCCTCTGCAGACCGCGGGGCGCTCGAACGTTGGCTTGAATGACAAGATTTTTAAAAATAACTTGTTTTAGCAGAGTATTAGGAAAGTGGAAATTAAATTACCATTGTTTGCAGATGACGTTATTTACACGCCCTGGGAGGGCCCAGAAGTCCAGGCACCGCTCTCCGTGTTCAGGGCACGCACGTCACCGGTTGCCATCCTTTCGGGCCTCTCCTGGCAAAGGTGGGTCTTTAACGCTGAGTAACGTGGCGAGAGGCCCCTGAGGACTCTGCCTCGGCCATCATCGCAAACTCAGTACCGATCGGCAATGTGTGTTCAACCTCACAGATGCTTTAAAAGTAGATATCGTAATAGAAACTTTACGTGGTAAAAAACAGACTCTGAAATTAAAAAACTGTGAGACCACACAGCAAGAGAAACAGCCAGGCATAATTAGGAGCTGACGGAGCCTGCCGGTCTACCACTCTGGGGACGCTGAGGAAATGTGTGTCATTAGGAGGGAAGTCTGGATGGGTGTGGACCCCTCACAGCTGACCCCACGGAGGGGTCAAAGCCACCGGCATCGTAGTCAGATGCCACTGGGCCGTCCCGGGAGGTGGGAGTCTGGTGCAGTCCACACCTCGGTTTCTCTGTCCGAAGCAGCCCCAGAGCCTGGGAGGACGCAGAGCCTCTGTGTACAGGCGAGACTGGGCGGGGAGGCCGCTGGGTCCCCCTGCTTCGCGCCTCGGACCTGGGACGACGGGCTGCACCCTCGAGCTCCAGGGGACTTGAGTCCCTTCGAGCTCCTCGCTGTCCCTGAGACGCGTTGGATGCGAACTTCTGTGTTTCTGGAACCATGAACTG